AAAACCAATTTCTCATTCAAATGTTATAAGTTTGGTTCCCTTTCCAAGACATTAAATAAACGATATCATCTAATATCCCCGAGATCGTTTACGAGCAAGGTGGTGAGACTGATTATTTTATACGGTTTGTATTCAAAATGCATCAGTACAAGCGCCTCGCCCGCAAGCGACCTCGGCGAAGTATTTTTTAATATTGGAAGAACTTTATGATTAAGAAGCAGTTGTGACTGGGTAATTTAGTTTCTGTGATAAAGTTTTTGATCTCTTTTTGAATGCTCCTATGTTAGGTATACCATAACAACAATAAGTTCATGACAGTTTAATAATGATGCGTTAGGCTTAGTCTGGATGTCATCTGCATATGAGTGATAAAAACAGCACTTTAAGAGACAAAATTAGTTGTTGTCGGCATCGCCCTATAGTAGAATCATTCCTTATAAGCAGAATAGGAGAAAATATTGTAGCTAGAAGATATGTTAGGTTTCAAGTCAACCACTGCTGAGCTATCTGGTACCTTTTAGAAACATTATAACAAAGATCAAAACGTATACAACATGCAATAATCCAGAAATATCTTTGTACTAGCTTACAGTACTCATTTCCAAAAAACAGAACAACCCCAACCTTAATAGACATCACAATCAACCAACCAAATTCCCTAGGTCACATCGCGGAATTAGTACATCCTAAATACAATAACCATAAAGCCATAATTCTTATCTAGCTATTACTCCGTTTTACTACTACTACTGTTCTTGTCGCAAAAAGTGGAATAAATCATTTTTGGAGAACTCAAATCCCACATTGTCATCAACATCATACTTAATCATCAATTTGATTTCCAACCTCACAATCACATATCCCCTCCTCAAATAGCTCGTGTCATCAACAGTCAACCACCTGAGTTTTCATTCCTATATCAGCTTGATTGTTTTGATTTCTGTTTAGTTTAAGAAAGAACTAATAGGCCAAGCAACGAACTTAACTATTCACCTCATTTATTAAACTCGTCCACAACTACTTTACATTCAGAATAGTATAGTTCCAGAAAATAACCCAACTCAAACACTATCTCATGAATTTGAAATCCTACAAGGAACAGTAATTGCTCCTCACACCTTTGTGAGTACAGCTTTTTAGAATTTACAAGAAAAGTAAAATGTGTTATTATGGAAGATAATTGGGATGTAGATGAAGAGATGAGAAACGTATATGCAATGTTTATGGAGAAAAGGTGGGAGAAGAAGTTATTGGATGAGCAACTTTATATCTTTATTGATTTATCTGATGTAATTAGAAGACGTTAAGATATGTTTGGAACGAGTAAAGCATGAAGACTAATCGGTGTGGACGGTTTATTGCGATAATGAGGTGGTATAAGTACAATTTCTGCAACAGGTGAGTGCAGAGTTACATGACAGGATGAGAGAGGTGAGTGTGAAGGTGATGAGGACGGGGAAGAGTTAGTGAAAAAGTCGTGAAAAAATTTGATAAATGGTAGGAATATATTCAAGCAGATAGTGATTCCATGATTCAAGGAGTCCTTCTGTGTCCTTCTTTAATTTTTACGCAATTTATATTCCTTCCGCACACGGTGCTGTCACTCATGTTGTTCAAGAAAAAATTCGTCCGAGTCTTCGATCATGAACTTAATTTCGGTTTCGACTCAAAACTGAGTGTTCATCGAAGAGCAATTAGACACTTTACTGTTCAACGTATATAAGCAAAAAATTTTACATCAAACTATAAATTACCATTATCTGCAACATAGAAGTTTCAGTTCCAATGTATACAATTTGACACCAATTCGTTATAAATATCTTTCGAACTTGTTTCTGAAATTAATACATATTTATAATGTTGTTTATCGTTTTTGCTATTCTCTTCGATATATTTATTATGGTCGAGGAAGTTGATTTATATATGCGAATCAGGATTGTTATCATTATCATAAAAAATGTACCCTTCACGTTTATTTATGAAGGTAAACGATCCCGTGTTGCTAATAAAATGGGTGCGCATTTTATTAGCTTATTATGGAGATGACTGTTTCTTTTGATGTACAGAAATTGTGTACTTCAGTAGTTGTAAAACAAATCAACACTACCAATTAGTTGAATTGTTGTCTTTCCTGCATCTTCTAAACCTTTTTTTTCACAGACGATAACTCGATCAGCAACATTGCAAATATAAGTAGATCTGATTTAAGTATAATTATTAATAGAGAAAGCTTTATAGTTGGTATTTATGTATTAATTCTTTCAGAACCGAAGCGATTCTGGTAATTGTACCAATTTTATATAGTTGGGATCCCTAATGAAATAGTCCAAGCCAACAAATGCTTCTATGGGCTTCAAAACAACTTCACATCTAAGCTACCAAAAAAAAATCAAATTAGTCCTATACAAGACCTTAATAGGCCCAGTAATAAAAAATGCTGATAAAGGTTATTTACAGCTTATAGGTGACTAGATATTGTTGACAAAAGACTATATACCATTTGCAGATGTCTATTATGGTTGCCAAATACTAGATGTTGCTGGCAGAATACTAGGTGCTGCTGGCAGAAAATTTGCTGTTTGCATACGACTAGACACTGCTTACACAAACTTATCTACAGGTCGGAAACATAGACCTTAGCGTAGAAAGACCAAGAAGCACTAACGAGATTCGAAAAGAAAGTACTTAGGAGAGTATATGGCGCTGCTAATGACAACGGTGTCTAGCGTCGCATTACGAAGTATCTTCTATATTAGGAACCAGAAATAGTTAAATTTATCGAAGTGCAAAGGTTACGATGGATTGATATGTAGCCAGAATGGACACACAAAGTACCACAAGAAATAATTTTGATCACCGTGGACCTGTAGGTAGAAGATTGGCTAGAAGGTCAAAGAAATAATTTGTGGACGAAGTGTTAAGGCAGACCAAGGATCATAATGAGCGATATAGCGCTCTATGATGATCTAGATAAGCCTTGTATTGATAATAAATGCCTTTATTAGAAAATAAGCTTAATTGTACAAAAAAAACATACAAAAGAAAATAGGCTTGTACTAACTAGTACAAGCTGGAACTCGCTGTAGTTTGATCTCCTTGTGATAAATTGAATTTACATCCTTACATCAAAGTTTATGACGATCGTTTGGTCAGTTGTGATCTGGATGGAGTAGTTTATAAAATAATAGAAGATAATGGATAAATTTTTTTATTATGAGGTGGAAACTTGGATAGTTTGCATAGTAAGTAATCTATATCGTAGCTTCAGTTTCGACCACATCACAACTTACAACGTTTAGAAAACACATAGACGCCGTATTCATTATAGTTAAGAAAAAAGCAGCAGCATTCTACAACACAATACAAAAAGTAAATGCAATGTTGCACTATGTTTAAAGTATTTTGCTCATTTTAATGATATGATAAAAGCAAAATGTCTAATTTGTACCAAAAACTTTATTCTTTTTTTGTAAAAGTAAAAGTGAAAATGTCTAATAAAACTGAATTTCCACCAACTTAATAAATTCATTAATCAAAAAATTTTCTCAAATGTGGCAAAGGCGGCACATTAAATTGAGAATTTTGAAAGCACTTGAATTCTTAATCTCGCCTCTTTATGTCGAGGTTTTACGTGAGATATCCAAATCAAAATGTAATTCTATCTGGAGAGAACTGTTCAATTAAAATAGATTAAAGTAATGTCAAAAAGTTTCTCTCTTATTTTTCGACTCACCTTTTTAATTATTTCGTTGATCTAACGATAAAGATTTTTCAAAATCACCGCCACAAACATTTAATTAAAAAAATATTATGTATTTTAATTAAAACTGAATTAAAAACGGCTCCTTTTAATCAAAGCAAAACACTTGACTTTAAGAAAATGAACTCGAACACGTATGCAATAAACGTTTTAACAAAAAAGTGAACTACTGAGTAATTAATCCATTTGAAAATTGGGTCAATTATTACTCTTTAAGCAAAATGTCAGAGGTTTTCGATCATATTTTCCAAAGTTCTCTTCGTTTAAGGTTAAAACTTAACCCATATTACCAAAAGGGCGATGTTGTAATAATTCAAATTTCGAACTTTTAGGATTAATAAAAAGTTAATTTAAACAAACCTTAATATTTTTACCACCAACTTTTTAATTTTAACAACGCGAAATATTCTGACCGATATGTAACGATTTAATTCTAATTCTATCTTTTAACAGGCGGTTATTGTCCATTATCGAAAGGATAAAGTCGATAAGCGAATTGATAAATAATGAATTATTTATCAAGTTAGATAATTTCTTATACCTCCTTAATCTAGATGTGAATAAATAATCGTTGTGGCAAAAGTGAAAGTGTAAAAAAAGACCAACTACACCAACTTGTAACCAAAGTCGCTATGAGTAAGTTTTAATTGTATGAGTCATTGTTAACACTATTAAACACAAATAGTCTTTAAGTTTAACATTGTAACAACATTTAAGCTTTATTAAAGCAAATCTAGATTTAAATAAAAACGTGTAATTTTAAAACCACTTAAAAATTGCAATGTTTACAACGTTGCGTGTTCGCATATCCTCAAAACTTAACTCGTTAATCGTTTAAATGGCTCAAAGACCGTCCTTTGAGCTACTTATTTCAAACCGGAGAGGTAACGAGCGCAATCAGTTTGTACGCTAGCTTTCATGTTAACGATTGCAAAATAGGTTCTTTACGATTCTAATGAGAGTCTTTTGCAACTTAAATCCTCCTTTTTACAAGATTTTACAAGATAAAAAAATTACTTACAACACTAAGTTTTTAAATCTTATTTTCAACTTAATCCCATCGAATAAGTTTTAATACTAATTAATTGTCGAGGTAGAATAATTTTTAACGCGATAACAATTTCAAATATGGGTCGATTATGCGCAAACGTTTCGATACTAAAATTTTACGATAAGAATGTGGAAACGATTTTGATTTTGTGAAACACCATTTTAATTAATCACTTTTTTTTTTACTTACTTTATTTGCAGTCTTTTCTGTGGCAGTCGGCGAGTTACAAGGACTTCTTGGAAGGCCTTCATCATCTTCGCTTGTGTCTTCTCTACCTCTTCTCAATCTTAACCTTTTTATAAGTTCAGTCTGTAACAAAACAAATTTTTAATACACTTTTTGTTTTAATATAAATAATAAAGAAAGTTTTTGTTAATTTTATATTAAGGTATTAGTTGTTGAAAGTTTTAGAAAGGTAAAAAAAACCCAATTCCGGTTCGTTTTTTTAATAATTTTTTTTTAAGGAATATTTGATTGACAACATTTTCAACGTAATAAATCGGTGGGCGGATTTTAAAAGCATCGAGACCCGTTTAAGACGAAATAAACCGTTATATGAAAGTTGTTGTTGAATATTTGACTCATGTTCTATTATTGGATAAGGTTTTGGCGAATATTTTTTAAAAGAAATCTTAATTCTTGAGTCACATTATTGAATAATTTTCGTTTTTAGTTTGACATCACCAAGGAAATGTTTATCAGAAAAGTGATTTATTATATTAATTTAGATAAGAAGAATCTTATGATTTCCTTTAAACCTTTTTTATTCCTTTGGTAATGAGTAATGAGTCAACGTTGTTTATGCAACAAAAACGACAACGTTTTGGAGAGTATTATTATCAGTAGAGGGGAATAAATGCGATTGCAACACCGACTTTAAAACTTGACTTGTGCAGGTTTTGCACCTGATCTGTCGGTGACGTAAGTTTGTTTCATGTTAAATTAGAAACAAAACCAGCATTTAAATCTTAAACAAAAGTGATAATGTTAATACTAAAAGTAAATAATAAGCGTGGCTAAATAACATTTTCTTTTATTAACATAAAGGTTTTATGTGATAACATTAAAAAATATGGTTAAATATTCATAAATCATACAGTTAAAGGTGAAGTTGGTACTAAAGAAATTGTTACGTAAATCATTAAATCATGACTTTAAAAATCTTTAAATCTAAAAATGTTTTTTGCAAAAAGTTTTGCAACTTTCAATTACATAGATTTCAGAATCTTAATCACAACGAAGAATACTAACGTATACAAGAACGAATCAAATGACCAATTGACTAAGGTACTAAAATAATTCCAAACGTAAACAACGGAAATGTGGAACACCTTAATATTATTGGAATTGTATTAAAAGAGACTTATATAAGATTTAAATATTCATATAAGTTGACCTAAATGTGTACGGCGTTGTACACATTGAATTGTGTTTGTAGTTATTCACCAAGTTTTACAGCATGTCAGTGTTGTTGTATGTGGGATGACTTTAACTGTAGACTTGTGTAGTGTGAAGGTATCTTTGCAATTATGCGCTATGTTATATAATGTAAAAGTATTTTAGTACATAATGACTGCTGTTGTGAGATCATTGTCCTTGTACTTAGTTGCTAAAAATGCAGATGCTTTTACAATTAATATCAAACCACTTGAAAATCATTCTTTCAATTTTAAGATTCGACGCGACAAGGCTGAAATGGATGTAAAAAGAGACAACGGTGAAATAATAATGATAAAAAGTACCTCTCCGGTAATGAGACTTAATTAACAAAGGATTTTGAATTATAACAGCAAACTGAGAATCATTTAAAGCAGCTGTTTTATGTCTGTTCTGTGCTGGAAAAATTTCTTATATGTCGTGTTTAGCATAATAAGAAAGTGGATATAAATCTTCCTGATTGTCTATCATATGGTGTTCAATAACAAAATATGGAGATCAAAATTGGAAATGATTGATTATTAAATCATTAAATGTATAACATCTCAAAAGTTTCTGACAATTAATAAGATGACATCATCTTCAAAGATAATATCATTAAATGTTGATTTGTTTCGAAACAATCATTCAATATGCTTTCCATTACACGAACCAAGGAAAACAAAACATAACTGTTAGTTCTGTCATCAAATATGGATTTTTTTAAAAACATATTTTTCTGTTCACTTCATAATTGTTTCTGCCCAGCAAAATTCTTTAATTTGTTACCAAGATATAGCGTCAAAGATGCTGCAAACTTTGTCATTCGAACCTCAATTAATTCCTTAACCATAAGAGTGATGTGATTCATAAGCACACAGCGATAATTATAATAAGTAAACTCAGGCATTAAATTTTATGTGTAATAACTAAAAGTTATACAACATAGTTGATGGTCAGTGTTCAACTCCTCATAATCTGATCAGCAGTGGAAGATCTTTAAAATTTATTAACTGCTGAAGGAGGGGTTTTCCGAAATCTCATTGCACGATGTATTGTTACAAGATACATTGCTAAATTTTTTGATTTGAACCTCAGATTGATTGCTAGGCTTTATAAGCCTGGTCTAAGAAAGTTCCAAAAGAAGGACCACTAAGATAAAGAACTGCAGAGGGAAGAATAGAATGAACGGATAGAAACTGATAAGACTACTGAAGAAGAAATAGAATAAGCCTAAACTTAAGGCATATAGACGAAACGTATTAGCTGCTCGATCATTACTGCAGAAACACAAAAGAATGGAAGAAAACCAATAGTAAAATAGCTCAACGTAATATAATACGTCTGTAGAACAGAACTGATAACTACAGTTTAATAGATATCATTATGCCCATATAAAGCATAATTTGTGATATCTCTTCTATGTACATCTTCCTATGCCTTTTTAAATTAAGAAGCTATCTAAGAAGCAAATATAATATATTTGCTTTGCTATTTCCAAAATTTTAATATTATTGTCTAAAATTGGATATCGTTTTATTTTTTTATTCTTTCTTTGACAAATCGAGAATATACATTACTCAACAAAGGAGATTATCTTCTAAATCCAGTAAGTGATGAGATTAAAGTCATAAAAATACAGTCATTGATAAAAAAAGGTAGGTGAGGCATTCTACTGCTATGATACTGAATATCCCTTACATATTAAGATATAATTTCGTTGTATTATCTTGGTTCCTTTTATTGTTTCAATTCCAAGCATCAGTGGCTTCAACAGAGGATGGTAAAAAAGTGCTAATCTTATTTGAGGAGTTATAGATGAAAAAGAAACTTAAAGTGGGAATTAAGTGTAGGATGTCTCGATTAGTTTAAACTAAATACAAATCACCAATATGCATAACAATATGTCCAACATAGGGACACTTGCCTTGAGGATACCATACCATAAATACCTTTATCGTATTTTTCTCGATATCCATACATATGAGAACAAAAGAGTAAAAGAGCAATAGACTTTTAGGTTGATTTATCATTAATTACTATGACAGAATAATTTAAATATTACCCAATGAATTGGCACTCCCATATTTAAATTGTGTGTGCTTGTCGTGTTCTGTATTTGATTTTACAGATATTAAGAAAAAAAAATTTAAAAATTAGTTTTGGAAGCTAAGCAGTCAGCATTGAAAAGTTTGACAGATGTTTTTGATATTGTCAAATTTAAATTGTGCGTACTCATCGTGTTCTATAGCTCATTCTACAGATGTTAAGAAAAGAAAATTTAAGAAAAATAAAATTTCGATTTTACATAATGCATTAAGTTAGCTACAGCCTGACTGAGGCCAAGTCAGTAGGATGGAGTAAGTATGAAAACTTTTAAGGACAAAAGTACAGGCGAATTAAGCTAGATAATATTGAAGCTAGGAGATATAAGCTCATTTTTTTTTAAACACTTAATTTTTGGCCACAATTTGATATATTTTAATTCTTTAGTTATTTCATTTATTTTTTTTATTTTATTTTACACAAGGCGCAGACAAACATTAATACAGACAATAGGAAAATGTTATCAGCCAAACATGAAGTTGTGGCATTCTGTTGTGATTCTTGAACGATTACCAACCTCAACATCGATAAACTTTACAATAAATATATAATAATAAAATAACTCGATAGCCCATGTAGTTTGCAAATGGAGTACTTCCGTTCTATGAGACTATGAGGATACGTTTGCAGATGACACAGCACTAGATCTAATAGCCAATACAAACAGCCGACAAAACAATACTCAACTGAACTAACAAAATGGAGGTAAAGTTAAACAAGCTGAAAGCTACAACGTTAATTTTACAAATAAACTGTAAAAAGGCCCACTGCTTCTAGATATAAATGACACCATTGTTCCATATGAGAAGAACGCCGAAAAAAGGCATAATTTTAGAGACCAAACTAAGATGGAACCGGCATGTAAAAAAGTAAAGAGCAGAATTAGCCCTTTCTATCTCCAAGAAATTGCTGATTTACAATCAGATTCTGAAACCAATATGGCACTACGATATTCAGCTCTAGGGTTGTGCCTGTGATTCGAATATCAAGTGTATTCAAATATTCCAGAATAAAATGCTACAAAAGATAGTTAATGTCTGGTATGTGCGAAAATCCGATATACATAGCGACCTCCAGATTTTCACTGCTAAGGAAAAAATTAAAAAGGTTGCTTAAAAGCATGAAGCTACATACATTTCAGCTCCACGAAATGAACAGAGCAGAGTTTTAATTGCCGACACAATACTGCTATTAAAGATTATTTTTGATTTAGAAAAATTTGATAAGTACAAAGTATAAAGTATGATTGTGCAAGAGAGAAAACTGAACAAACATGAGAGACTCACGAAATTGATTGATCTTGATACTTTGAACCAAATCATGAGATATAAGCATATTGCTTGAAGCAAGATATTGACATAGTGATGAAAATGACCAAAGGAGATTCACTTACTGTTTCCATTAACAGTAATATAAGTCGAGTTTGCAGCTATAGAATATAGTTTAGTGTTCATTGTAATTACCAAGCGATTATAAAAAGTTTCCAAAATGTTATGCAACGCTTTTTATAACATTTTTAGCTTAATTGTTTATATCTTAATTAACTCTTCCTAAATTAGCTACTACTAAATCAATTGCAGCTACTTATTCTAAACATAAACATTTTCATAAAATTAATAACTTTCATAACACAAGTGACTGTGGATTGCATCTTAATACTAGCGATATGAATCAAGTCGTTAACGTGTTTTATGCGAATTTATATCCAGCTCTTTGGAATTTTGTCCATAGAAAGTGTAAAACCGCTAAAGGCTAACCCGGATGGTTTTCGCATGGTACTATCAGGTTTCTTCGTGAGAAAATTAAATGTTCTCAGTTTTAAGAAGCAGAGATAAGTTCTACATCGTTCGGGACATTACTCAAAAGCAAAGAAAGGGTGCTGATTTCTGAAGCAAATGAGATTTACTCACGTCTTTCAAAATTTTGTCATTTATCATTACTACTTCTTTAGCTGGTATTTTTAGTTCTAATTTTGTTTCACACGTTTTGAACTAAATAACACTTTAAGAAGTGATCCCTCCATTTTGACAATTTTAGCAATTCCTTTCTTATCAATCTTGATTCTCATTCCTCTCATTCAAATTTAATATCTCCTTTTCAAATGCATTGAGATCTATTCACTATAATTATTTCAATATTTTAGTAATGAAAAGGTTTAGGCGTCATTTTTGACACTAAATTTCTCATTTGACGAGCACACTGACACGATGATTTCAAAGACCTTGCGTATGCTCGCCTTTGTTATCAAGTTACAACAAGTTCCTCATGCTTGTATCCTGTCCAGACAAAGCGATTTAACCACTAAAAAGTAACTGATTAAGAATCTTTTTACTCGTTACTTAGCATTAATTTTCTCTTGAATCTCTAATTATAGTGATACAGGGCTTTATGATTTAAAGTTTGAACCGTCTCAAAATATATACAATTTAACACAAAGGAAGATAAAACAATAAAAAAAATCTTGTTAAAGTAAACGATACGAGTGATAAAGGATATTACATAAGGAAAATTGATACACAATTCGTGATAACCGAAACTCTAACTGAACACAAACAACAAACCAACTCAAATATTTGCGGTTTAGGTTTATGTTGACTTCAAAATCGTTTCTGCGAAATTTTTTAATCAATACCATAAAATTATGCTTAAAATTTTTTTTCATTTCTTACCCAAATCGTTCGAAAGAAACCTTCTTGGTTACTCTTTTCTGTGTTGGATCTTTTAAAACTTTTCCTTAATGTATTCATTTCGAAAATACAATTAAAATGTAATTAATATTAAATTTATCAAACTTTAAAACCACAATAAAGTCCTTGATTCACTTCTCACATCCTCGATTAAGATAAAAATAAATTCTTTTATTATTTAAAGTCTTTATGATTGTTTATAAAAATTCGATTTAAATGGAACAAAATCCGAACATCTCAACAAGACGTAAACAGAACCAACTGGTAAAACGTCGCAAGTGGTACTGAAACGCGTGTTTTCCCGTCTGTGTGTGAGTGTAAAATAAAAGCGATAAGGTTTTATGAGTCAACGATGTGGTAGAAGTCGACACCGCAGAAACATTTCAGTACCTTTTTTGGAAAATGCATTGTATCCTTAAAAAACGTTTCTTTTCTCATTTTATCGAGTTAAATCCAAAAATACTTTAAAAACTTTTTTTTTTTAATTTTATCTTTAATCATAATCATTGACTCACCCACAACCTTCTAAAAACCCCTCTTCCTCCACCTCCTCCTCCATCATCACCAATTCCTCCTCCTTCATCCTCTTTTTTACTTTTTTTCCACATTTTCATTTCTCAACACTACTTAAAAAGAAGAAGAAAAAACAACACAAAACACACACATATCAAAATAACAACATCAATGATTCAAGAAAAGAACCCTTTAACAAAAAAAACTTTCACTCGATTCACCTTCACGCATAACTCTTTCGATTGAACAAAATTGGGTCACCGAAGGTCGAAAGACCCGGTGGCTGCCAGGAGAAGAAGAAGAAGACTTCCACCAGGAGGACTCGAAGGACGAGTCGCGTTCGAACGTCGAAGCATCCGAACGGTTTCGCGTTTGGAGGAGGACTGCATCATCGAGGAGAGCGTGCGGCGTTTTGTGGGGGCCGCCAGCAGCTTAGGTCTAGGCTCTTTGTGAACGCTCCTGCTGCTGCTGCTACCGCTTCGGGCGCGGTCGCCGCGTGTATGTGTGTACTTCGTATACGTACACACGAGGTCTTTTCGTGGAGACACCCTCCCTCCTTCTCTTCTTCTTCCTCAACTCTTTCGCCTTTCTCCTTCTTAAAGTGTTTCTTAAGGATACCGACTTAGGTGAGAGAGAAACGGAGGTTTCTTTCACCTTCGGGGAGTTAACCCGTTTGGCCAGTCAACAACAAACAGTAGGTAAGGTAACTGTATATTTTCTAAGGAATAAGAAAGATGAAATGGAAGAGGATGAGAATATGCTAAGAAGGGGGTGAAGAAGAATGAACCTGAACACGCAAAGTTAACTTTAAGAGAAGGAAGGAGGTCGAATGATGACAGCAGGTAAACTGAGAATGATGAAGATGATAATAATAAATTAAAAAAAATACATTTTATTATTCCTTTTCATCACTCAACCCAATCTGAAGAAACAATAAATGAACGAGGTTTAGAAAAGGAAGTAGTGATGAAGAACAATGAGTTGGAGTGCGAAAAAGTGGGCAAGGAAATTTATTCCGAGATTGATGAAGAGGAGTGAGTCATAATAATGAAGTGAAAAGTAAAAATAAAACATCATTTGCATTTGAAAGAAACTTTAAATGCATCCAATGAAAAGTGGGAGGTGAAACATTTCCGATTATGAATGAAATGTTGAGCATGCTGAAGAGGAATGAATCGTTAATGAAACGGAAATCAAGTAATGACCAATTTACATTTAAAAGAAGAATCTGAGATGTAATGAAGAGTGTGGAGGTGGTGATGGAAAACTGATTAATGATGAATGAATACACTTGGTTCACTAACGATTACATTGGTGTTAATTTTAATTCGAAATGTTAGAATTATGAATAATTATTAAAGAATGAATAAGAATAAAAAGGAAGTGGAGACGGAAGATAATCTAAGAATCACTAGAAATGTAAATCATATCTAAAAATACATGTTTATAATAGTTTTAATGATGAATGAAAAGTAAGTTAACATAACTTTGTGTATCAATGAATTCAATTACTTTTAAACAAAGAAAGAAATCGCACTCAAGTTATTTCAGGTAACACTCAACTTTCTCGCATTGTTATACGGCTAACAATATTGAATCAACATGATTGGATATTAAAAAAAGTATAAATTAAGAAATTTAAGATAACCTAAGGTAAACAAAATTGGCCATACTGTTTGGAGGAAAACCGCCTAGATCTTCGTTGAGCTCCAGCAATATTATTGGAAAATCGTTATGTTATTTCAGTTGCAATAATAGCTATTTTCAGAGTTAGATAGAATTAGGTAGGTATAAATTTGTAATACGAGCTAATTGCTGAATTTTGAAAAACTGTGAGAATCGAGTTGACATCCTCATGGATAATTGCATGAGGCAACTCGAATTTGTAAACAATAATTTAGAAAGAGTGAATTCGCGAGATTGTTGGATAAGATATTTTTGATTATAAATTCTTCAAACCAACGAGTGAAATGATCAATCATAGTTAGTCTATAACCAAATGAATAAGTGAGATAAGCTTCCTCATGGTATGTGTATATGTCGTAAAAAGAATTTTGTTTATTTTTTGATTATAGGGTTTTAGTACTGAATACATGTTTTTGCCTAGACATTAATATCTTTGTTTATATGTGACCATAAGAAATGTATTTTTATGTCTATGTTTTGCTGCGAGAAATCAGAATAAGATGAGTTATAGAATTCACCAAATTAGTAATGTACCTATTACTAAATCTTTCTGGGGTATACATTTTGACATTATGGGATGAGGATATCTTCGTTTATGATAGGATTTACGTAGTTTATGTTATTGTGAATTTTAGAGATATTTTAGTTGTGTATTAGTTAGTTGAGATTTCTGGATATCTTTCAAAACAGAGTAGATGAGATTAAGAGATTCTATAGTAACACATAATATAGTTTCAGGATCTCATATTAGAATCTCCCTCTGACATAGAGTCAGTCTTGGAAAGTATTTATCAGTTTGGAAAAGAGCTAATCGATGGCTTATAATCTATAACAATAACTAATAACCGGATAGGAATCTCCCTCTAACCTACAGTCAGCCTTGGAAAGCATCAGCTTTGGAAAAGAGCTAATCGATAGCTTATAATTTATAACAATAACTAGTATCTAAACCGTATAAGAAATGTTTGAATTCTAACTAAATAGCTTTTTGAGAGTTCTTTTGGAAAAGGAAGCTATAGGTTAGAAAATGTTGTTTACCTCTTGAGATAATCCCATATCCTTGGCCATGCTTAAGCCATTAGCGTAAATAAGTTTGGTGTTGGAAGTATGAGTATTAGAGAAAGATCTTTTATGGCCAGTTGCTCAATTATTAATTTGTCTTTGAAAAGTCTGTTTGACATAGTGTGAAGAGGTATATTTTGAAATATTCGGTTGGCCAATGGGGAAAATTTAAGATATGTTTCGTTTTTGAATGGAAAGGATAAAGCTTTCGGAAGAAATTGTGTAATCCAACAAATCTATAAACCCCAAAAATGTATTTTTAAGGTTTAATGATACTAGGAAACGAATCTAAAACTGTTTGTTTACATCAGTACTAACCGCAATCATATCGTCCAAGCCAACGAAAATGAAATTTAAGGCACCTGTGACATAGTGCATAAATCGTTGCAGCATTTTTAAGGCAACATAATAACGGTGTAAATATTATTATTGTGCGACGAGTATTTCTAATACACTCATCTTTTTATGATTCTCACATTACATGATACCTAAGCAAGCGTCAAACGGCTGGCAACGTTACACCAATTAAATATGTTAGCTGCAGCAGATCAACTTTTGGAAAAAAATTACAATATGATATGAGCAGCATAAGAAGAACATGGTCTAAAAATACCATGGTCTAAATATTTTGAAATCCTATTATGGTGTTTGAATATATATATATATGACTTTGTCAAAACGCCTTAGGCGCCAGATATAGTCTTTTTTATAGTTTTTTTTGGGCAAAAGATATAGTTTTGAATGATATGACAAATATATCTGCTTCAAGAAATTGTCGCGTAAACAATAGCCTTTTTTTAGTTGAATTGGCGTAAATTGACTTGCTGTTGTAATGATGTTTTTTGTTGTGTCTCGATGTAAAGTAAGTTTTGGTCAAAATGAAATTTCCTCCTTCACTAGAAATGTGGCGGTGAATTTCATGTCAATCATTGGTAGAATCAAAAAACAGACTTTATGGTGACTAAAATGACATCTCCATGAAATTGTAGTTGCCTCCAGCAATAATAAAAATACGAAAGAATCAAAGTTAAGTTCAGACATCGACAAATAATAACAAATTAGTGTGCTCTGTCAATTGAACTCATGCCACCAAGTTTATAATAACTCTGTTGATGTCATCAGTTCCCATTGCTGATGGCCACCGGTAATGAAACGAACTTGCATGTCGTTGAATTATTTGACCATGTTAAAATTGTTTTTAGATTGCTGTCGCGTGTGGAAACCTTCTCTTCCTAAAATTCAGAAGAAGATCCTGATGAGACGTCAAAAGATTCAGACGACATCACGATCATCTGCCGTGTTTAACATACCTCCGAAAATCTCGAAAGGTTTCTTGGTATCCCATCCCAAAAACACCGTAGGCATTGTATGTGATTTAAATGTTTCTCCTCGTTTTGACATAATAGAGATCATTATCATTGAAAGAATCGCAATAATTAGATATTTTGATCAGTCACCAAAATTACAATGAAACTGTATTCAAGTTTACATAATTTAATAATAAAGGTTTATTATCATCAGCTATGTCGGTTTTGCAAGAAATTAACACCGAGAAAATTAATTTTGTGTCTTTTTGACTCCATTTATACAATTAATTATATTTATAATTTGCAAAAGACGTTAAAATAAAGTGATATATTGTGTATGTTGTAGAGTTAACACCACAACTGATACAAATTGTACGTTTTAATAGAATTGCAACTACAGCCATATTAATATTCCGTGGATTCATTACTTCCAAGTAAAGTATCGCTTGGTGTCATGATGAAAATCTAATTTACATTTATTTGCTGGGTATAGCATGAAAATGCTATACCCAGCAAATTTATAGAAAATAGCATGAATTTGCTCTCAATGAAATCATTGGGAGCAAATCTTTGAAAGCAACTAGCTAATTTATAGGATACCACTTGAAATCTAAGATTTCAATGATTGGTAGTTTTTTTTTTAGAATTCTAAGTACGTAACTTCCGTTAAACGCGTCATTATACAAAAGATTTAATCAATTTTTAATCAATTTGTATAGAACTTTCTCTACGATGCTTCTCCATTGATTCGGTCAGGGTTCGCCGACATGCGAGCCATTACGCGTTTTAATGGTCTTAGGGCTCTCGCCAACCTACTCCCCGTACAGCACGACTTGAGATACAAAGCGAGATCTAAGTGTAGAACGCCTCGGCAGTTTGGAGCACGATGTGTGAAATTACAGGGTATAAAAGAAAAACATGTGTTAATACCCTCACTATGTACTGGATGGGACTTCAGACACAATTTGCAAACTTCATTATCTACAAAAATAGATTTGCCATATGCTTCGTTTTGTATTCTGTATTTTGATTTCTAACTTTCATTGTTTCATGCAATTTAGTTTTGTATTTTATTGACTTCAACATTTTTAAGTCATAAAGTATAACTTCATTTTTCTTTATGGTTTTTGAGAAAAAAAATACAAGTTAAAATAGACTCGGGACTTCGTATATGTAAGAAAGTAAATGGTACAAAAAGTAAAAGAAGACTTCGAACATGAATAAACGAAGGTGATGAAAAATGACGATGGAATGAAGAAGAATTAAAATAAGAATGAAGAATATAAAGATAAATACAAAGAGAAAACTAAGTGGAACATAACAAGAATTATGAATCATGACTACAGGTAAACCAAGGATAAAGAGGTGTGGATGATAATATTGAGTTATTGAGATTTAAAAAATAAAAAAATTGCATTAAAAAGAAATGATGAGTGGGTGGTAATAAAAATTTTTTGAAGATGAAGAATATAGAAGAAGATGGTTTTATGTAGCGTTATGCAGATTCCTAGTATGCAGAGAAATGTTAATGATTGTAAGACAAACGTCGTTATATGCCTTTATCAGCAATAAAACCTTAATTTTACTTTCAAAAGCATGCCAAAAATGAAGAAATTAGGAGCAACTTAACTCAATTAAAAAGGCTCTTCCTTGAATCAATGCTAAGATTATTCAGAGACCTTAATAACCGACATTTATTGTTAATCGCCCATATGTAGTGGAAATTAGAAATTAAGGGATGAATGTGCAGTACTCGAATCGAGGTTGTCACTATAACTCATAACCAGTATTATGAATTTAGTAAAATGTTTACTATACAGCTATCAATAATATTATTTATCTAAAAAAGTTTATGATAAAACGTCATACTTAAAGATACAATGTAAGATAATTGAAGTCTTGGTACATAAATATTCACATAAACATAAGTAAAATTGTGTTTAAAGATTACACGATAGACAAGAACCACTCGATTTGTATTTTTAAGATGTAACATTCTCCTTTTTTATAAATTCCGGAAACTGATTAAAAAGTTTTGTATCGTGGTAGTCTATCCTTACTACGTGACCTTTAAACGGCAGTAAGGAAGCTTTTTATAAAGACACTCCATCTAGTATACACATAAAAAACTGAGATTTTATCATAACTCTGTTTATTATTGTGTATATAGGTCATGTTAGCAAAGACGGTATATGTACGGTAGGGTAAATGTTTCAATATTTTTGAAATGCTTTTTTAATGATTCACTATTCTTAAGATTATACAATACATGGAAATATTATTGGACCTTAAAACTTCATTAACCCCATATAACGATAACAAACTGCTTTGCTACTTCTTGGTCTATACAAAAACTGCAAAGTTTACTTTTGGGGTTTTCACTATTCAAAATAAGCTGATATGCTTAGATCCAGCCTGACACAGTTTCCAATAGCTCAACGAATTATTTATATACTTTACACACGAACAGGTTCTAGATTTCATCCCTGCACACCGTGGTATCTACTCATATTTAATACAAGATGATACTGTACTGAACATGCAATTGGTCCATCCTGCTGGATTTACGTTTTCAGTTGAAATACCTACATTTAATTGAGGAATGAAAACTTCATTCATCATGCCTTTGTAGTGCTCACTACCTGCAGTGATTGTTTGATTTATGCCGTTTTTAAAGAAAAATGGACAATAACTTCCCCAGCGTAAACACAACATGTAGTGAGTTTGAGCGAATGAAATCTCACTCACAAGCTCCTCGTGGATTATTCTCGGATTTTCAGTGCTACAATACTGCAAATTTTATTTGTTCATATATGTATTCATAGATGTGGAAATGGACGTCGTTACTCGTGATGATTTTTGGTACAAAATCGTCAGTTTGAAAATCAAGCGTGGACACACAGTTAACTGTTGATGAACTAATGGCACATTGTCCAATCTTTGTTCCTTACCTATCTACAGAGAATACTTGTGACTGTGGTTAAATTTACGTTCACATATGGTGCTAAAATCTAGTATAAGAAAGTTCAACAAGTCTTGACAATTGTTGATTTGGCGCTTTCAAGAGCAATAGGCACTACATTACCTGTAAGGATAGACATCTTGCTTGTACCAATCCTCTACATTTTCACATAAAGAAAGACGGTATACCTACAGTTCACTAGCGATTGACAAAAATACTACTCCTTCAGAATTCTCATTTTAAGGTTCTGCTTCCTTAAGAGGCAGAACGGGTATTGACATCAGAACTTCTTTTGAATATATAGATATACATTACCTGATGACAGCAATGTGGTATTCATTGACGAGGTAGCTAAGGCTATTAGAGAATAAGCTCTCCTTGATCCAGAAATGGTATATGGCTTATGATGACCAAGAAATGAGTTAGAAAATGGATTTAGAGCTGACTCATTATACTCAGCACTAATTGTCTGGTATGAGACACGGCAAGAGGTTTATTGACATCGCATCGTTCAAAGTCAAGAAAACTTTAGAACTCGACTTAGTCATTAAGATTCTAATGGGAATCTTTACAACATACTTTTGGACGCAGATATGATAAAGACGTATGTACCTCAACGCAGGTTCTAGATGCTGTCGGCGCAATAAATAGAAAAATTTTGATATTTGTTAAGAACATAGAGCTGAAAGATGAAATTGGACATGTCTATCAGAATACGATTGATCTTATTGGTCGCGATGTAGTGTTTGGTTGATCAGTGTACCTGACACTTAATTTATTTAGTGTAATCAACCGAATGGCAAAAATGGAAAGGAGGCCAAAACTACAAGAATTCCTAGAAATGCTTTTAATTCTTTTGAGCAAAATTCTTGAAAACTTGTCAAAAATTTCAGCATTGATAATTATATAAATATATCGATGTAATTGGCGCAGCACTGCAGAGAGTGGAGACCCTGCAAATACTGATAAAGAAAACTGCGTCTTATAACATACTTAAACATGTACCTGAATAGCCGTTTTAAAGTTAAATCACAAAGCGTCGGCATAAACGTCTGTTTTGCTCGTGACTAATTTGGTCATCATGTCATACTCGATGACGAACACAATTGAAGGTGTAACAGATTACACAGCACAAGGTATTCATCATTTGTAGATTTAAAGATGTGCGGCAAAACAACAAAATATTTGAACTCTAGTCTCCATACCGTTTGGGAGAGTTCTTTAATTTCTTCGGCTAATAGCATTCCTTCTCTCTTCTCCAGACCTCAGTTAATCCCCCTTGCTATTTGTAGCTTTTATGGATGAAGTGGTGAACATGCAAGAGAAGAACAGAAACTTCATGTGCTAGTCTCCGATATATGCAGACAAGTGGTCAGAAACTCTAAAGGGGAGGAGCATGACGTTGAACAAGGTGAAGTGTCAAGTTATGGTAGTGGCGAGGATAGAAGAACAATTGGATAACATCCACATCGAATGATTCTCACCCAGCTATTAATATTTGACGGGCAAGCTTATTGAAGACAAGACTAAAGTCAAAACAAAGATTATAAAGCGGTCATTAAGCCTATACTTACCTATAACAATGAAAGCTCGACCGACTAGCGTTGATGCGATCCAAACGAAATGCCTCCGGCGGGTTGCAGGAAAGATACGACGGGACAGAGCACGGAACAATCGCATTCGAGAAGAACTCAATAAGCAGCCGGTCTACAGGATGATCGAGGATAGACAGATAGACGAATCGGGCAGGTAAGCAAACCACGGATGTACATTGAGATCATAGCGCAAGTCGGGTATAGAGGCCCATAGGGAGACGAGAACAACATGGGAAGAGACTCTTTCTGGCCCAATTTCACTAGACAAGTACAGTTTTCAGTATAGCCAGTTCATTTCGAAAGGACTTAAAAATATTGAAAATACAGACGTCAACAATGTCTTAACTTCTCAAATATTTGAAAACCCTTCTAAACTTATATTTTATTAGTACTTTACAAAGTACATCGACTTATGGAAATTTGACGATTATTAACTGATAACTTCAGGGTATAACTGTACCAGTTAACATAGAGTTACCATTAACTCTACGCTGATATGTAGATGCCCAAAATATTCCACATTGTTTACCGTTAAAACGCCGAAAGACATTTCTGAATGTTTACCAAAAATATAGAATAGTTTGTTTGATCTAAAGTGTTAATGAAATCCTGCATGTGATTACTTGCAGCATTTTCATTAATGTCGTGATGATTGTAGAACAAATGTTTGAAAAAACATCATATATATCATGTCGCATATATCAGAGTTATTACAACACATTGTGTGAATTGTTGTTATTATAAGAGTTTAAGTCAGCGGTAAATAACAAGAAAGTGATGACATAATGACAACATTATGTTGTCAATACAATGTTATTGAATAGATAAGAACATAAAGATCTCGTGATAACTTCTCATAATCTTTATCAAGCACACCTTATTTATGGTGAACATAACTTTAATAATTTTTAACAAAATCAATTAGTTTGACTTTATAGTTTTGTTTGTAGGAAACAACCGTGAAAATAAATTAAAATCTCGTTAGGTATCTCTAGGAAAACGTTATTATCATCGTCTGGGAATCGGTAAACGAATAGAACGATTTTACTTGTATTTGTCTGTCAATTCAATCGCTGCTAAGTCGACATGCTTTTCAATACTTTAGACTGCAACCAGTGAATGATATGCTCCGGTGTGCTTTGTGGCTCAATAAATTCACGAGAATTGTATCGAACTTACACCTGATGACGTTGATGTCTTACTTAGTTTACTTTGATCAAACGATTTCTTATAATTATCGCTACGTATTTCCTTTCAATTTCAACTTAAATTAACATATATTATCAATCAAGCTTTACATTTAAACCTGAACACCTATTTAGCTTGAGAAAAACATGTTTGATGGTAAATAAAAAGTTTTAAATGCGCTTTTAAAGTTTTAAATCGCCTTTTTTATAACTCTCCCATCAATTTCGATTTTAATTAACACATTTTACTACGGAAGTCTTATTTTAACCATAAACAGGTTGAATGTTGAAATAAGAATCTTGGATGCAATAAAAAGAAAGAATTTGAATTAACATATTTTATCACTAAATCCTTACTTTAGCCTTGAATGCTTTGTTGCAAAAAAAGAACCTTACCTGTAATGTGTTTGAAAGGTAAAGCAGATTCTTTAGCTCAACTTCTTATAGTTCTTAGAAAAAGAATACAACTTTACATAAATTATTTCCTTTCAATTACGTTTTAAATTGATTTATTTTATCAGGGTATTATAACCTTGAGCGTCTTCAAATCAAATCTAGTCGGGAAGGAAACACCATCGAGATATAATTACACTTCATCAACAACTACAAATCATACATTTTATTATTATTTAGTTTTATTTGTTTCGCATCCAAACCATTTCTATCTACTAGGTTATTATATTATTAACGACCTAATTTGCATAAAACGCATAATAAAATATCTTTGAGTTATCATTTAAATTGTTAAATTATGATGAATGAGTCACGATTCGGAATCTGTGTGTTGCTGTTGTTAGTTGAGTTGTTATAGGCATTAGTCATTTCTTAAATGTCGATAACCGGGATTAAAGAATTCTTAGTAACAAATTATTTAGCAACAAAATAATAAAAAAAAAATTTTGTTTTAAACGTGTAACTTTGGTTGTCTACTTATATCATTATTTTTTTTTGATGTAATAAAATTTTAAAGTGAATTGGTTGTGGTTCGTAAATAATTGGGTCACCAACGTTAACCACAAAGGTAAACCGATCCACGACGGTTTTGATTGGTAAATAACGAAAGTCGGTGAAAGAACCAACCATAAACATATAAGATCTATCTGTAAAGTTCACTGACCTAAACCCGGAGAGTCAAAGTATACGTCGCCGACGACGACGAATCGATTCGGAAATGAAGAATTAACGGTTGCCATAAGTTATTTAAAGCAAGGGGTTTTCTTACTGACCTGTAACCTGTCGCCTCCGAGAGCGCCGTGAGGCGTCGTTGTCGTCGTCGACGTCGTCACCGAGAGCGAGGAAGCGCTATGGGCACCTTCTAATTCGATTTCTGAACCAGAGTGTGGCGAATGGAAAACACTGTCATGGGATACACTTAATCCTGGATGCATAGGAACACCACTTCTACAAAAACAAAATAAAACTTTAATTTCATAACCTACATAAAGTATTGAGAGTATCAAAACTGAAATCCAGACTATCTAAACATAGCCAAAGTAGAACGGTCATCTTATTTTACTTCAGGACGTTAATCTGAATACCAAGATCTATGTCAAGTATGAGTACAAATCGTTTCATTTGCGAATGAATTCCATGACAAATAGTAAAAGAAAATGTTTTTGAAGATATGCAACATAAAGGAAGTTTATTTAAAGTGCACTTTAAAAAGGGTAAAAGCAACAAATCAGTTCTAACTTATTCTTAGAGAAAGTTATAATCTAAACAATTTTGCTTACCTTCGCTTAGGAGCCTCTTCCGGTTCCGATAACTCACTCGAAGACCTGCTTCGAAGCCCTTCTTTAACCTCCGAGTCATTAGACACATTGACGTCGTCGGCCACTTTGTTGTTTTTCCTTTTAAACCACTTCCTGGGGTTCCAAAACCGTTTCTTTGTACTAACTACAGACAAAAATGAAAAACGTCTCAAGAACGTGTTTTTGTCAAAGTATTAACACAAAAAAGATGTTTTAATGAGTGATTTTCGTTTCTTTTTTGTATTCTAATCTTTTTTTAATTTTAACTGACCCAAATCGTAACTACGTCCACGTTTCATTACAACCACATAGAAACTGTTTTAAAAAAAAATGTTGGTTTCCGAACTGTAATGATAAAAGTTACGTGCAAACTAAATAAAAACGACAAAGCCGGCGGAGTTGTAACAAGAGATAAAAGTAACAGAGAGGGTCATTTAATTGTGTTGTTGCCTTTCCGCTTTGGTATTGTGTCGGGCTTGATCGCAACAGTGATTTTACGAATGAGTCACTCCCACGGTTTAATTTTATTTATTATGTGTAACAATCACGAAAAATTCTGTTTAGTTTCTTCTTTTTGTAAAAGTTAAAGTCGAATTCATTTCTTCTCATGCGAAATTATAGAAACATTGATGATACCAACTCCTATACGATGAGAAAACCTAACTGGAACACCATATAGGAAAGGAAAAATCCACCACGTTGCATTAACACAGCATCTCGTTAGTAAGTTTGTATCACGAATAACAGCATCAGCAGAAATGTCAAAAATGAAAAATCTTAATCTCATCACTTGAGATTAAGAAAAAGGTTAATGCCAATACAGCAAAATCGATAAGTTTATTAAACAAAGTACGGAATTATGCAGTTATGTGGATCTATGTTTCCAGAAATAATAGAATATACAGATGAATGTTTGTGGTGTACTACAAAAATACAGCTTGTACTTCTTCATGCACACCTTTCCAAAAAGATCTATTTATGGACCTTCTTTGTATTGAACAACTATCCCGAACATTGCTCATAAAAATATACCTAAGTACAGAAATGCAATTAAAATTTAATTGACACCAGAAAGACTAAAAAGTAATATTTCAGAGTCTTTGCCGCTTCAAATTCAGCTACAAACAAATTTCTGTAAAGAATAATGTGTGAAGTGAACTTCTATCAATTATGGCAACCATTGTATTTGTGTTATTCGACATTAATTACACATAACTTATACAGAACATAATTAACAAACATGAGTAGCGAAGAGCCATGTGTTACCCGTGTTGTCCATGTTATGAATTGCATTTTGTTCCATCAAAAAATAATTATACAGTAGATAATAACATTCTGCCCATCGAGTTTTATACGTGGTGCTATATACTGCCTTACTAGACTTTGTAGACGATATCTTGTGGAAGTATGATATAGGTAGTCTCTGTATACCACATTAAGCATTTGAAACCGTTTGAAGGATACCAGTCTCTGCCAGCAAATTTAGGTTGCTTGGTATTGTTGGTATATTCGACCACGAAGCATCCAGTTATTAAGAGATTTATTAACGAGTACGCAACAGGTTTTAAAACTAATAAGGGTGATTTCTATACATACATAGTAAAATGAGGTAAATCTGATTTCTTAGAATAGTTATTAGAATGGTTCAAGGACATAGTTTCCTTAGTAGCCGTTCACATAAAGAACCGGATAGGATATACACTATCTACAAATAAGCATTTTGCCACCCATGTAAAAGCTGACATCTGCGATTTAACGATGCCGTTTAACATCGTGTACTAAACAACATGATTTCCAAAGAGCTGTAACCGTCGGGAAGAATTACCCAAAATCCACAATGTTCTATGTTATTCAGAAGTGAAACCGAAGTGTCAATGTCAATTAATGTTTTGTAAAATACGTCGACAGTGGACCATAGATCAGTGGAGGCAGGTTCTCTGGAGCGATGAAGCAAGGTTCACCCTCTACTGTTGGGATAGAAGAATGTGTTGGATCTGGCGTGAACCTGGAGAACGTCTCTTACCCAAATGCATTGTGCCAACAGTAAAGTTTGACGTAGGTGGGATTATGGTCTGAGGGTGTTTCTTCTTGAATAGATTAAGACCTTTGATCCCAATTCATGGTAATCTCAACGCTGACGCCACTGCACAATTTAAGATAACAATTTGATTCCTAAGTTATAGCAGTTTTACATAGTGGACTCATGTTCATTACAACCATAGTGTATCTATTTGACCAACGGTACTTCAACACAATTATTTCCAATCTTAAGAATTTGTTTAAAAGTGTTATTAAATCTACATTTTACCAACAAAATATTGCCTACATTTACAGCATCAATTATGTTGGAACTCGTATTAAGCATATACTAGGTGAATTAATCTCACATACTATACTAGGTGGGGTTTGACATATCTACCCTGAAAATAAAATACTACTTCTATAAAATACTTCATAGAAAACGATCTGACGTGTCTTTTTTTGTTTTTAAATTATTTTGAGTTTTTAATTCCTGGGGTCCACGATACCCCACTTAGTGGTGGAACGGATATCCGGCAACTATCCGGTATCCGGCCTATCCGGCCATTTTTTAAAATCCGGCCGGATACCAAATATCCGGCTTTGGTCGGATATTAAAAACCTATTACTTAGTACTACACCATCCACAGGAATTAGTATCTCTTTTAGGTTTTGGATACTGTATAACTTGATTATCAGTGCATAACACTAATAATAATCAAGATCAACCCCAATAGGCGTTTTTTCATTGAATCCAACTTTATTTATATCAGGTTTGTCATTAGCAACCTCATTGTAACAATCCCAATACGATATACAGGGTGATTTATAACATACGGAGCAGACTAAAAAGGTAGGTACTAGGGGCCAAATTGAAGATATTTTCTTAATAATGTTTTGACCACAACTTAATAATCACAAAGATATAGTTAAAGTTAAAGTTGAACTAATGGCTGAGCATTTCTTACCATATACGGTATTACACTACGTTTAAATTCAGACTGCGAGTATTTCGGGGTTACTTAAGCAATGCATAATTAACAAAAATAATAAAATTTTGGTAATATAGCAGTTACGGCTATTTAAAAATTTGTTAAAATGCTCAAAAACTGGTGTTTTTTTGTTGAGAACCGCTGACACCATATTTTTATTACTACCAATCCAGTTGATTTGGTTACTTAGCAGTTAGCAGCGGACATGTCATTTAACGTCAAAATTTAACATCTATTATTTCTTTTAACAAATTAGGTATTACCTAAAATAACAACTACTGAAACAATAAATTGTCTACATTTACAGCTCCTTCAAAACTGAGGATGACAGTGACAAATATTTTTATCGTTCTTTACTTTACTTCTAATATCAGCGGTTCTCAAAAATGGACGTTAAATTATTATATTTAAGCGATATCTATGTAACTATTAAGTTTTTAACAAAACATTATTAAGCAAATCTTTTCAGTTTGACCCCTAGTACCTACCCTTTTGGTTTGCTCCGTATGTTATAAATCACCCTGTATAAAATCTGTTGTTGCAGTTTTGTCTAGTTTTCTTCTCTTCGCTTGTAATTCATTATCACATTCATTACTAACAGAACTGTCGCTGTTATCACTTTCGGTTATTAATTAAAGTATCCTCTTTCTAATGCAAAAAGCCGTTTTGAAAAATCTTTTAAAATTTTGCAATTTTCGCCAATTAAGTTTTAAAAATTCGTATAAAATCCATTTCTTGGAATATGAGTATGAAAATGTCCCAACGTGTTAATAAAAGTGTCCTCTTTCCAATGAACCAACACGTTTTGAAAAATTACTTTTAGTTTTTGAGAAAACAATATTTGAAGTTTTGGTATAATTTTCGATGTTGCAATTTTCATCGATAACTTGCAAAATTCGCTATAAAATTAATTTCTTGAAGGATCATTGTGGAACTATCGCCAATTATTAATTAATGTATCCTGTTTTTAAGGTCGCTTCGTTAGTTAAATCAGCATCAAAAAAGTTCATTTTGTATCTTGAATCCAAATAAGTTGACATATCTTATCAGCTTTCTTATTAATTTCATTTTTATTCAAATATCGGAATAATGTGGCAATATAGGGTATCACTTCAGAAATGCACCAGAAATTATAACCATAATGGCCGGATAGATATGCCGGATAACCGGATATCTGGCAGAAGGGGATGCCGAATATCCGGTATCCGGCTTTTCGCAAAATCACTATCCGTTCCATCACTAGTTAATAAGGACTGTATGAACATTTTACACAAAACTGAACGAGTTTCATGCACTTTTGATGCGAACCAAATAGATATGATGCATACAATCTAGGAGCAGACTTTTTAGATACTTGGCTCAGTAGAGATTTGACTTATTAGAATGTTGATGAAAACTTGATACAGAGATTATGTATAAATAGTGCAAATGGTATAATAAGATAGATAAAACGTTATTTCGTTTAGTTGCAACATTTTATCTTTATTGATGAATTAAGTTACCTTTACTATGAGAAATATTTTTAAGCAGTTCGATTAATGGCAACTTCGAAAAATTTTTTGCTGATAAAAAGTTGATAAAAAACAAGATGAAGTTTATACCTTAGAGTTAATGTTTATGTTTTCCACTTATTATGAATTAAAAAAAATTAAAGAGATTAATACAGATTTTGAAACATTTTGGTGATAAAGAATTAATTTTATTTTAATAAATGTGATACATTTTTGAATTTCAATTTTGAATCAATTTTCATTTATAAATAATTTTCCATAAATTTTAAAAAGGTCAATAACAGCACCAAAACCACTAACGGGTTTTAAATGTTCCAATTTGATAAAGAAATACAAGTTTCTTATTACAAATTTACTAACCATCTTCAAAAACACTATCCAAAGATAACGTTTTCCATCGTAATTTATCCATATCAGTTTTCTTAGTATTTCTTTAAAACCAACAACCTTTTAAACACACAACGAATATATTTTGCACTAAAACCAACCACAGTACATCACATCAAAATGGCAATAACACCGTTTTGTTATCTAACATACTCTCTTTGATAACGTATCAATGGTTTTAGTATGTAATTAATAGACGTCATGTCTAAATTTTGTTAAAACACAATAAATAAATT